ACTTTGTATAATAGTTTCTCCTCTTAAGACATGACAAATAAAAATAAAGTGATTCTCTCTCTCTCTCTCTCTCTCTCCTCTCTCTCCTCTCTCTCTCTCGAGCAATCACTCACTTTGACTCTCTTCTCGTTTATCTTTTGTCACATTTCTCGCACTCAAACTCTATCCTAATTAACAGCTCTTAAGGAGTGTTTAGCAAAAGTGAGTTCTGTTTGTAATTTTAGTAACAGAAAACCCAAACAACTGTATATTGGCATCGATTCGCACAATACTTATGCGGGTTTTAGACATTAATTAGTAGAGAAGTTAACTTAAATGCAATGACAAACAAAAAACAAGGTTTTGATGCGTTTGCTTAGCGTTTGTACACATTTATAATAGTGTTGGTAATTTGTTTTGCGCTCATTATGTCAAATGATTTGACTTCAGACAAGAACTGATGCTTTTTATCCCTACAAACAAATACAAACACTTTTAAAGGTATACTACTATTAAACATTAATTGATGGCAACAACACAATTGTAAGGCAATCACAGACTGTGTCTATGTGTGTGGTATTCATTGGTTTGCATCCATGCGCTCACAAATGTACTTCACTAACAAACAAATCAATATAAGTGTATAAACTGTTTGCGAATTATTTGTAAAACAAATAAAAACATACATCAAGTCTTCACTACTTATGTTAACTAAAGTTTACAAAATAAGAAAAGTCTTTGTGAGGAGAAGAGACAAAAAATATAACAAAGTTATTATTAATTATTATCATTTCATGTAAATCAATATTTTTACTAGTTAGTTATATTATATAACTTATATACATTTTAAGACAGATTACATAATAATGGTTGTTTTACGAACTTTTATTTTAATTCAACATATACATTTACCTACTGGAGTGATAACAATTAAAACATTTGGAAACAAATAATATATTGTTAATTTATATTTTTGGCCTTGTTTAACAACATTTCAATGAGTTTAGGGCTAACGTATATTTTCATAATATATTTTTGTTATATTGTTTGTAAAATATAATAATTAATATTTTGATCAAAAATTAAAAGATTTATAAATAAATATTTAAGTAAAAATTTGACCACTTTTTTTAGTTAATATTATATAATATAATTGATTACTTATACATAAATATTTTAATAATCATTAGTTATTAATAATAACTTATTATAAAGAGTTTTGCAAATTATTAAGTTGTTTTAAAGTAATAAAAATGAGATCTAAGTTTTGAAAATTACATTCAAGTCTCTGTAAAGTAAAGTTAGAAAAACAAATTACAGAACACATACCTAAATGCTTGACAACATTTAAGTGAAGAGTAAAATCAATAGAAAAAGTAGTAAAGAACGAAACCATTGGCTTCATTGGTGATGGTTGTTGTCGGGCGGGAGGAGCGCAACAAATGCCCTCCCATGACAAGCCCATGACAAGCCCCGCAACACACAAACACCACACCAAACAAGTACTAAATGCGCGATACAGTGCTAGTGCTTGTAAATTGTATGTACGGCCGTGTAAAACGCACAGTGAACACACAGTTACACAGGTCAGATGTACACTAACTTTGTGTATTACAACCACAAACAGAAACTGCCCTCGTCATTGTCGTGTCATTTGCCACTCAACTACCGAAGGGGTCTTACCATACCATACCCTACCACACCATACACCATACCATACCATACCATCACTTCTATAACATTTTATGCTCACAACTTCATGGGAAGGAGAGAGCGAGAGTTGAGCCGAGGATAAGGCAAGTGTTGTCAACTTAGTTAAGACGCTTCCAAATACAAGTTAATGTCTCTCATGAGACACTCGAATACCTATTTTTCAAATACTTTGAGCCAAAGGTCGTTATCCTTTGCCCACAATAAAAGTGTTGTCCATTTGAGGGGTGGGCTGACTCCTCACTCGTTTATGCCTACTCTACCTGACAGAGACCTACTGTACCACAAGACCCACCGCAGTCATCAAATTTAGCTCACATTAAACGCCAACTCCTTTTCGTGTCATTCATTTTCGACACTCTGTTTGAAAAGTGTTTCATGAGTGCACAGAACTTAATGCCGAGCGCTTCAGCACCGTCTACGACAGGCCAGGCCACTGGTGCCACACCAGCCTCTGCCACATCCAACTCTCCCGGCGCCGGAGCGATCACTCCCGTATCGATAGCAGGGCCCCCACGCGCCCCATCCAGTGCCACACCGTGTTGTGAGTCCGGACGACCCGTCCTAACCGATCCCATCACTGGCCAAACTGTGTGCTCGTGTCAATACGACGCCCATTTGCTCAACTATCAACGTTTGGCCGCTTCCACGGGTCTACCCCTAGGCATGTACGGACCCGCGGCCGCCGCCGCTTACGGCGCCGCCGCCGGCGGTGAAGGCTTTCTACCCATACCTCCAGAACAGCTCCAATCGGCCTTTTATTCCCCGACCGTAAGTCTAAACACACTTTTTTATTTCAATTTTCGGACATATTTTTATGAATTGATTTTATATGTGTTAACACTTTCTCACAACTTATTACAAACATTTACTCAAATCTAAGATCTCAAGTAAAAGGCAATGAGAAACCAATTAAAATGTTATATAAGTTTATATTTAGTGGTTATGTAGACCCGACACCACACACTCACTCACACACACTCTCCCTCTAATACCACATTCAATGACCTCACGTATGACTTGAGAAAAAGTCGACCAAAGAGTAAAGTAAAGTAAAACAAAGTTTTCAAAAAACCAAAACTCATATCAAAGTTGCGGAGCTTTTAGTGAAATAATACAAAATATTAGAGATAGAAAGCCTTCACCGCCGGCAGCGGCGCCGTAAGCGGCGGCGGCCGCGGGTCCGTACATGCCTAGCGGTAGANGCTTCTCTCCCTAATGTGACTCTCAATAAGATTAAGTTATTTTGTTATATACTGTTTATATATTACAGAGGAATGCTCTCCTCCTTTACTACCGATGCAAGTGATGCTACGTTTGGAGAAAATAAAACATTTCCCAAAAACTATTGGTGTGAATGTGTGTGTATTGAGTGATCCCATTAGCAAAAGCCGGCAAAACATCTGTCGCTATACTATTGCATAGCTTTGCATACAATAGACAAAAGATGCAGATTTTCAGCCACTCTTACATTTGCTTCAAATTTTATACACTTTTACTTATTATTTGATTTAGTTATAGATTTTTAGCATATATTTAACAATAGATTTTCTTTGAAAAATATGAGAGAGAGAGAGAATTAATGTAAGATTACTTGGACAAAAAATCATACAAACAATACCACCTCTAATGCACACAAGGTATGAATCTATTGAAAACAGGCTAAACATGCAGTATTAGAAGTAATTAAATATTTATTAGCCACTTTGCTATGGGCAAAATTAAGCTATATAGATTTTGTCAGTATTAACCTTCAACCCCAGCCCTACCCCATGGCTAGCATATGGAAAAGTGCGCGAAAATATAAAAAATGATTGCCTTTCAATAAGAATGCATACAATTGTACGCGACTTTGCGCTTAAGCTGTGGCGTCAAAAACTGGTTAATTCAACGAAATAAAAATATTATATAAAATTGTTTCCCTTAGACCTGAAGTCAAGTTAATAGCAATGATATGAAACATAAAATTTATATATACTGTATGTAATGTAATGTTTTATATATGAATAGATGTTGAATTGTGATGGGTTTGGGTGTGTGTCTGATGACAAGTGTCATTACTGATTGAAATCAGTTCGCCTTTCAGTGTAATTTATATGCTATTCATGCAATATATCCGCACTGTTTGACTGTGTTTTCTAAAAAATAAAGTAATGAGAGATAACGAAAAATTATTTTGTTATTATCTGATTTGTTGGGCTCATGGGCTCATTCACTCACTCTCCTCTTTCCCTCTCCAGTGCCCGTCACTTTTGTCAGCTCTCTCTCTCTCTCTCTCTCTCTCTCCATCAATATGTTTTGTACACCACTATACATGTCGTTAGTATAGGTTCTCCTACTTTGTTATGTAAGGGCAGTGCTATTAAACAGATCTTATTTTCGTTCATTTGTTAATGTCGTCAACATATTTAATGAACACATAAACTCACAAATACACACAAATGTCTAAATTAATGTCAACAAAGTCTCGCTATATATAGAGTTAGGGAATAAAAATGAACCAAAAATATTAAGAAAGATTTTTATTGCCCATCATTTAGAGAATTCATATCTTTATATCTCATATATTGAGCAAAACATAACCCAAATTACAAATACATTGGTATAGAATACAGAGTACAGTGTGTTTGTGGAGAAAGTGATGTCCGCTCCAAATGTTCATACAATTGATGTCTATTTTTGATATTAATTTTTTGTGTTGTGTTTTTCAGGCGAATGGGTTTGACTTGAAGGAGAATCTGGAGGCCTGGAGGAACCTGCCCTATGCCGCCGCCGCATCCATGTATTATCCTTATGATGGCGGAGCACTCGCTGGTTATCCATTCGCTAATGGGTAAGCATTTCTATTCAACCTATAAAATACATAACACATAACATATATATTTAATTTTAATATAACTCTCGCATCGATTGAAAATGAAAATAAAATGAATTGATAAGAAGCTTGTGATGCACTATAATCTCATATAAAGTACAAGTGCGCCGACATATAGACACACAGAGTGTACACACTTATGGTGACAGTCAAACACTCCATACACTAGAAAATATATATTAAGTATTAATGGGAGACAAGAGTTTGGCTAACTTATCACTAATGCCTAACCCGTGTATTCAACTACAGAAACAATTTTCTTTTCAAACTCTCTCTCTCTCTCTCTCTCATATTTTTCAAAGAAAATCTATTGTTAAATATATGCTAAAAATCTATAACTAAATCAAATAATAAGTAAAAGTGTATAAAATTTGAAGCAAATGTAAGAGTGGCTGAAAATCTGCATCTTTTGTCTATTGTATGCAAAGCTATGCAATAGTATAGCGACAGATGTTTTGCCGGCTTTTGCTAATGGGATCACTCAATACACACACATTCACACCAATAGTTTTTGGGAAATGTTTTATTTTCTCCAAACGTAGCATCACTTGCATCGGTAGTAAAGGAGGAGAGCATTCCTCTGTAATATATAAACAGTATATAACAAAATAACTTAATCTTATTGAGAGTCACATTAGGGAGAGAAGCACTCACACTATGTTTAGATTATTTATTTAATGCCATTTGAAATTGAAATCTTGCTTTCGGGCTCGGATTGTGAGCCCAAATAGCGTGACATAGTCTTCAATATTCTGTATATTCTTTGCCTATTTTTTGTGCCTCTTTTTAATATACAGTATTAGTGAATGAATTGAAAAGTGAATGCATTCATAGAATAACGTCATTATAACAAATTGGATCAAAAATGTCATACGAATGAATCGATTCATATAATTCTCATTACAACTAAATCTAATTCATTTATTGTCTTCCGATGAGAGAGAGAGAGAGAGAGAGAGAGTATAAGTAATGTTGAAGGAAATTATAGGCCAATCGATCTTAATTATCATTGATTTCAACGATTATATGAGACTTTCTTCACAAAAATAATTACAAATTATGAATTTTTATTAGCATTTATTTTCCAAAAGATTAATTATTGTCAAGAAGTGCGTGAAGTTTTGTTTTATAAGTTTTCTCCACTTTTTTCAAATGCATTGCTCTTTGAATTTGAAATGAGTCTCAAAAAAGCAAATTAAGAGACATTTTTAAACACAAAATGATTTTACTATACATTTAATGTACACTAAAAACAGTACATAATATATCATAGAAGAGAAGTTTATTCTTTAAAAATAAGTTGTTTTTTCGTTGGATTTTAGTCTAGGATTTAAATTATGGCAAAAATCATGTGCTATGAAAGTAACTTAAATCAAGATAACTAACAGAAAAAAAATCATTATTTATTTGAAGTGTTAGTTTGAAAAATAAATTTTTTGCCATCGAAATGAACACTAATAGTGAACTAAACATTCAATTTAACAAAACTCATGAAATAATTACCAAAACATTTACTTTGTTTTAGCATTTAAATGGTTTTTTATGAGAATGAGTGGAAAAATTAATAAATTTCTCTATAATTAGAAATTTAAAGAAATTAATTACTCGAAAACATGTGTTCATTAATTCTAAATTATAATAACATTTATTTTTCACGATATTTAATATAAAATTAATGTTTTCTCAAACTGTTTGGCAATTACCCAATCGATCACTACATTTCTCATTACCTCTAATCTTGAAATACTATACCATTTACTATACATTTACTTTTTCTAAACAATTTTCATTTGACTTTAAATAATTCCCGTTTAATCCAAAAGTTAATTAAAGCAATTTCTTTGTGAAATCAAAATCCAGTCATTTATTTGTTATTCAAATTTTATTAACTTAAGTGATATTTATTCTCTGCTCAACATTTTGGCAATTTTTCTTATTTTCTTTTTTACATTCAAACGTTTGGCAAAACATTTGCATTTGTTATTTAAAGAGCTGAGAAAAAACTTTCAATTTTGTCTTTTTAATGACATTTTCCTTCGAGAATATTATTTTTTGCCTCTCATTTCTTATTCCTTACAATAGATTTCTTGTTATCAGAAAAGATTAGTATATTTTAAGGCATTAAGTGCTATATTTCTGAAAATGTGAACAAATGTATAATTCCTACTTCAGTGAAAAATTCACGAAAATCTGCGACAAAATTCTTAACTATAGTTATAATAGAATATGAAGTGTAAAACCATTGAAGCCATAAAAGAGGGCTATTTATAAGGATATTATATATTTCTGTATTTCTTGAACTTAAAACCAATGATAACACTCAATACTAAGGGTTCGGTATTATTGTTGTGATCACAGGTATGGCATGGATTTGAATGGCGCTCGACGTAAAAACGCCACCCGAGAGACGACGAGTACACTGAAGGCATGGCTGAGCGAACACCGAAAGAATCCCTACCCAACCAAAGGAGAGAAAATAATGCTCGCAATCATCACTAAAATGACATTAACTCAAGTGAGCACTTGGTTCGCGAACGCCAGAAGACGGCTGAAGAAGGAGAATAAGATGACGTGGTCTCCGAGGAATAGGTGCGACGACGACGACGATGACGGCAAAGACGGGTCCGGCAGTGGTATCAATGATAGAGATGGCAGAGACGGAGAGACCAATTCTCACCGGAGAGATCGCGATGAAGGTCAGCATATTTTTGTGTGCCTTTGCGTTAATTAATTGCTCTGACATTTGCTTTAGTTATTATATTGTGTGTTGTATTTGCGTTGAATTGCAATTAGCGTTAGTGTCCGACAAATGCTATTTAGTGGCAGCGAGTGCTTCAGCCCCTCAGCACACAATACTGTATGCCTTTGCTATGAGACTGTGTGTTGCGCTGTAGTGCAGGTGATGATGATTATACATTAGGTTAACCTGTGTTAATGCCGATCCACTCCATACCCACTGTGTATTGTTTGGAAAGGGATGTGAGAGTTAGTTGACTGCCAGCCGAGCGTGTAATGATATTTGCGACCAAAAATATTGCTATAGAGAAACATTGTGTTCACTTTTGCCACTCGTATTCTTTCTCATTGCACAATACATTATGCTTTTTAAAGTCGGGTTTAGTGTTAGGCATTGAGTAGAGGCACAAGTGAGCACAAGTGAGCGCCCGGGATCTCCAGAAGCGCCTATACCTGTCTGTGCCGTACAGCACATACCGGTTGATGGTATAGTTGTTAGTCTCTGCTAATTTAGTCTTTGTTGTATGCATTTGACTAGTGATGTCCCACTCGAGTGATTGTGCGGTTGTATTACAAATAATTATTTATAGTCGAATAAACTACCGATCCTTTCATCGCAAACCCTATTGTTTTTATTATAGCTTTTATGACATTCTTTTTAAAATCCAAATACAAAACAATGATATCTGAAAATTAATTAGCCGTCCGCTCCTCTCAATGACATCAATAGCTGTCCCCTCTCTTCTTCTTCTCCTTCTACTACTAGTCATACAATTCCGTGACAGTCGTTAGGCCTAAGAATTGCTTTGTTTATCACTTGAAATATGAGTTTTACATCAAATCATTTTAATGTTTTTCTCTCTCTTTATTTGTCGTGTCTTTTATGCGTTGAAAACGCTTTTTAAGTTCATTGGACTAAAAGCCAGACAAACGCACAATACATCTCTCTTTTGTGTTCACTTTTGTCTCAATTATTAAAAATATTTTTCTTCACTATTTTTTCAGGCGATTCTGATATCGTCGACATCGAAGAGGACTCTAATCCTGGCGGACACTCCGGCAAAAGGCGTGACACGGGTTCTCCCCTCTCGGATGTGGGCTCTCTGTCCGACATCGGAGACTCGGATGCCTCGCAATCGGCGAATAACGCCAACCCATTGCTGTCGCACTCTTCACATCTGCATCACACCATTCCACTCAATAAACCCAGAATCTGGTCCATTGTAGACACGGCTACCAGTAATAACAGTTCCTCATTATTACCGCTGCCGCCAAACGCTATGAAACAAGCGATGGCCAGTAATGCGGGTCCAGGACTCGGACCCATTTCGCCGTCAGTCGCCGCTATAGCAGCCAACAGAGCGGCGCGACTCGACTACCTGTCGCCGTATTCAAAGCCCGGCGCTCCTCATCACTGGTACAATGCGGGCAACTTTGCCGGCGGTCCGCCCGGCGCCGCATTCTCGCCTTTATATCCATGCCCTCCGTCAGCAATGATGGGTCATCTCACTGTACCTCCCGGTGCCCACAACAGCATACCTCCACATATCGCCGCCGCGGCCGCAGAATCATCGCTAAATAGGTTACGATCGGCAGCGGCCGCTGTGGCCGGCGTTTCAGTGTCCGGCTCTTCTCAGGACAACATCGCAGCCATTAATAAGACCATTACATCCATTGGTGAGCGAACTTCTAATGGCACTAACATTAATACAAAATCATGACAATTATGATAATTGTGATCAAGTGTTTAATTTATATATAAATATAATATACGAACTCCAAAACCATAAAACAAACATAAAATTTGTATAGTATTTGGCCTACAATTAGAAGACGGCTTATACTATAATTGTACAGAAAAATTGAGAAAATATTGTATAATAATAATTGTGAGACAACTCTCATCGACAAGTATTTTGTTGTTCACTCAATACAATCGATTGGCGAATCGTTATTGAGATGTCTGTGAATTAACTCATTGTAAAAGCATATCAAATGTGCGCCTATTTATCAGTTATGTTTATATCCGAGTGCCGTCTCCGTTGACTTCATTGACTCCGATGTAATGCCAATGTATAGTACATGTGATGGTAATGATATCTGGACTCAATGGTGATGTAGTCCAGCCCCGACATCATCGACAACTCAAATGCTCTTTGTTATCAATGATTGAGTTTTACATCTGCTATGAGAATGCTTTAACGTTAAGGTCAGTCTATTATATGAAATTGAGGACAAACGGCAATAATATAAATAATATAATTATTATCTAAATTAGTGGATGTGATGGGGATATGAGAGCAGACACTAAAGTTTTGCCTCTAAAATAATGCTCTATTAGTTGAACATAACACTAATACTGTATAACAAATATATATAAAAGTGCAGTAAATGTTGCACACAATTAGATAACATTGTAATAATAAGTCATACAAACAGACTATACAAGTATATGATATAAAAGAGGCGATCGATTGAACGATAATTTGATATTTTGAATGATTTGGATGAAGACGTAAACTAACATTTGAGTGACAAAACACAGGACAGACTAAATGCTAACTTATATTCAATTACATAACAGACAAACTAAATGCACAAATATTTGTCAGACTATTTAATAAGTTGTTTTTTAATTTTAACTGATTTATAACTTTGTATATTTAATTTGTTTAACACATCTAACAAACAAAAAACAACAACCAATGTATTTAAATGTACTTCAGATTGAATGTACTCTTTTTGAGTCTTAGTTTCATGTTTTCTCTCATAATTTTCTCGTAAACATTATATCAAATCTCTCTTCGCATTCATTCGTCCGTTTGTTTGTAACAAATATTCTAACATTTCATATAAACTGATAAAATATTTGTTAAATATTAGAGTTATTTCTTATTACATATTATTTTCGACGCCTGTATTCATCAATGAGTTGTAAAGAAAGTCTTTGACTGATCTCTAAATAGTGATTCAAATCAATTATTTCAGTGAATATATTATAATATTTTCTTAATCCTTATTTCAACTAATTATAAACAAATTTTGTTGATTTTTATTTATGAATATTTGTCCACAAATTTATTATTAATATTTAATACAAATTCAATTCAAAGTTATAGGAAGAATCAAATATAATTTATCAAAACAAAAAACTTGTTAATTCATTCAATTTGTAAATAATGTCTAAAAATATTGTATTTCAATAATCAATTGAATAAATTTGATTAAAAACTTCATTTTTATTTGTTATTTCATTTATAACCTCGATTTTTAAGCAATTAATTGTCGCGTTAACAACATATTGAATGCTCGCAACAGTCATTCAAATGGCATATTCTGTGCCGTATATATACATTAACACAACATTTTGTTTCTTGGAAATCGCTTTTAATTCAAAAGTGGGAATAATTGGTGAGAAGTATTTTAAATAGAGATAATATTTCTCTCATTTTTCCATCGCTTTAATCGTTTAAATTAATGGACGGAAAAAAGTGTGGATTCAATGCCATTGAATCGATTCTCAAACGCGCCGTTCATTCAAATGGTGAGAAAATGATAGCTTTATATATAAAATAACATCAAATAAGACTAAAAATACGAAAAAATAAATTTCTTGACAACACTTTTGACGACCCGAACAAAAAATGTTAACATTTTAACACAAAATATAGCATTTCTTTAATACATTACATGAACTCAAGCATCAAAAGTGTATAATAATAATTATATTTCATAACATTTATTGGGAACCAAAACCCATTGGATAACAAAACAATAGGAACTGAGAAATAAATATGAAAATAGTTGACACAAAAAAGCTTTGTTTTATTCATTGTTATTAACGTTTTTATATTTAAGTCAATAATAATAATAACGTTAATAATAGTGGTATTGATTATTATGTTTATGTATAATAAAATGAATGCATGACTTGAGTTATAAAAATATTTGAATCAAACAAAAGTCTATTTTAATTATGAAAACAATTCATTATCTAAATAATAAAAATAATGAGTAAACAAATGAATTAATTCGGGTTTTATATATTGAGTAAATAGTTTATGTTATATATTATGTTTAAGTTAGTATTTTGTGTATTTTATATTATAGATTACGATATGCTATGTATATGTTTATGTTGTGTTCAAAAAATGATGTAAATAATAATTTTTGATTTGAAAAAGTCAGTCAAACAAGTTTTATATATTGAGAAGAGAAAAAGAAATTCAAATGAATATTTTTGTGAATTCATTCATTCATTAAATTCGTTAAATCGATATTTTATGATATTTGAGATTATTATACATATAATAAATATTATGACAAATGAGAGAGAGAGAGATATATTAAAATTAAATATATATGTTATGTGTTATGTATTTTATAGGTTGAATAGAAATGCT